CCCACAATCACCGGGTATTGCTTAAAACGTTGCACATTTCCCACACTCCAGCAAGTGGAGCCACCGGAGGAGTGACGAGAGGTGCGACGAGGTGGCGACCACTTAGCCATGGTTGCCACAACTCTGGAAAACCTTGAAAACCTGGAAAACTCAGGGAATTAAAAAACTGTCAGGGAAATCAGGGAAAACTCAGGGAAAATGAAAAAAAGTCAGGGAAATCTGACAGGTCAGGTCCCCAAACTGCAGTCTGTTCGCTGTGTAGGTCAAATACACATTTTGACGTCCCAGTAGGGTGTTTTGTCCCAAAAGTTTTCACGCTCGCTTCGCTCGCGGTCTTGTATTACAGATAGGGGTATTTGTTTGTCCCAGTACTTCACCAGGAACGGTGCTTAAAACTCAGGGAAATTTGAGGAGAAATGGTCTGGAAATCAGGGAAAACTCAGGGAAAATGGAAATGAAAATTTTGTGGCAACCATGTTAGCGATTCGGTCGTTGGACTCCTATGTAGCATATGTACTCTAGTGTTTTCTGCGCCTTAGGTAACATACTGTAAAATTGTACATAAACCCCTTGCATGCGGAGCGCGCAACGAGAGTCAGTCGTTTGAGCCCCGACAACGAGTACGGTCACCTTGCCAAACTTCCGTCCGCGCGGCCCCTCGGCTCCGTCCCCCTCGACTCGGCGAGTTGTGATCTTGAAAGAGGGCCAAGCGTACCGCTTCGCTAATTATATCTAACATTAACTTTACATTCTGCGTTAAATCCCGCTTAAATTGCTTTAGGCGCTGTAGACTCACCATTTCTTGCACCTGGGCTGGCTGTTTGTGCTGCAGGCGAGAAACCCATGTTTAAACTTTTAAGTTAAATCTACAATACAAAACAGGAAGTTGTCTGTACCTACCGCTCTAACCATCTTCATCCGTCTGTTTGTTGATCTACGCCGGGTGGAGGCGTAGCGCTTCCCCTTGAAGTTGGCTCCCATTCCGATCTACAAGAGGCAAACGAGATTAAAATACTTTCCGGTAACTTTGAAAATTTGTGGTCTGTAGGCTAAAGGTGGATCTCCAATGGAGCAATCTACAGCTGGGTGCCTAGGTGCACCTAGGTGCCCCCACAATGACCGGGGGCCGTGAGCCAGGTAGCGGTGACGCGATCACTGGAAAAATTAAATAATGTCAAAAACGCCTGCGTACTAGGCTACCATGCGCTACAGGCGTGTAGTGCGGGCAGTCTACGTGACGTCACCACAGGCGCAAATACCTGTTTTTGAAACTTTTTCCAGTGATCGCGTCACCGCTACCTGGCACGCTACATATTTTTGGATAGGGCACGGTACGGCCTACGTATTGGAAAAAACAACATGTTTGATTTTGCCAATTTCGGCTGCCAGGAGCGACCCGCGCGGCCCGCGACGTTTGGGCCCCTGGAGACGCCCGGTCAGTCGCGAGCTCGGATTCACCATGTCGGATGTGAAGTAGGACCCATAGGGTCACACTTCAGACCCGAGCCGTCACCTTTGACCCAACCCTGTCAGCACGGCAGAGCCGACAAAGGTGTCGGGTCACCGCGCCCCAATTTCGAGCCCGCTCGGAAAATCGCGTTAAAAACTACGTGAATTTGGGCGGTCTTAGGAAAGATGGGGGGAGGAGCGGAGGGGTCAGACGTGCTTCGTGCCGCTCCGTCTCCCCCCTTCGGTTTTGGTGGTTCAAACTCGGTGTTAAAGGAA